CGTGCGCGGGAAAAAGTCTCAAAAAACCTGCAGCCCCAGCCAGGCGAGGCCTAGACACCGGGACCACATGAGGTGCGCATATTCATCTATATCTCCCCTCTTTGTAACAATGGAGGTTGACTTGATCCAATCCACCCTCTCCGCATCGGGTGCTGGGTACACTCCGGAAACTCACCGGATGGCTATTACTTCATAATCAAGGGTTAGTGATGAGAAGGGCTTCGACCCTGACATTGGATCTGAACGTAGTTAGCTTCATTATAATCTTAATGAAGGGAAGTGCCGAGGGATGAAGACGATACAGACCACGAAAGCGATTGAGAATCCTTAGCGGAGTGAGGAGTTTTTACTCCATCTCGGCTCTACGGACTCTACAATGAGGGCTGGAGGTTCGTAGGGGACATCACTGATAGATGTTGAGAATAGTCCCCCTGACTAGCGAAGTCACCATGCCCAGTCCTTGCTGCAATTAGTCGGTGATATGCCCTTCAAGATAAAGCTAGCTCCGGAGAACGTTTACTTCGCATCATTAGGTCTAGATCTTCATACTTGTCCGTTCTGTTCTAATGCCACCAATCTTCCGCCAGTTTCTGTACGCGGATTGTGACTTGGCGATTGAGAGCTACGAATGTCAGGACTTCGTGAGCTTTCTCCCGGATGATCTTAGGTCTCGGTAATTTCCCTTTTTTCACCCCTCTCGTACCCGTCCCATCAATCATCGAATTGTTTTCGAGCTCAGGCATTTTCACAATGCCTCTAGGTCGCAAAAAGCGTCCAAACGTCTTGTTGGACTCACGAGAGTCCGCCCGAGGGCTCTCGAAAAATTACCTCGCCTCGCCCAGTCTCCAAAATGAGCGGAGATGGGTCAGGCCGCTTCGAAAGGGAAGGATAAAGCCTTCCCCGTCGTCCCTGAGCCCGATACTGACATGATCGGGTCAGTTGAAATTGTTGAGGAGATCCATTAATAAGATTCCATCTCCTACGGGATAGGAGGACCTTCCAAATCCTTTCAGACCGTGTCAAAGCCGACTGAGAACGCTGCTCCAAAAGCAGCACCAAAATCAATATCGCAGCCAAAAGCTACTGCAAATACAGAATGTTCGCCCGAGCTTCGACCAATTGTCGAGGCCGAGCGACGACGCGCCGCCATTGCGCAATACATGGCCACAGGCCCGGCCACTACGCCACCCGTCCTCTCTCCTCGCCCGAGGAACCTTCTCCCAAGGACCCCGACGCCAGGAGTACACCAATTCCCGCCGTCCTAGCGCTGCCTGTCAAAGGCATCTGGGCCACGGTGGCCAGAAACGGACTGCGACAAAATGCAGCACCTAAAGCAAAGGCTGTGCCGCGACCTGCGGCGAGAGCCCAAAAGAAAGAAGCTCCCAAGGCGAAAGTCGATAAGCGACTGTTACCTCGCCTTGGAAAGGATCACCCATGGCGAAAACTGTCCACAAATAGCGTGAGAAGTAATATGGAGACTACGTTCCTCTACTCTCACTATAAAATAACCTCGCTCCATCGATTGAAGATCGGCTTTGCTATGCTAGCAAAGAACGAAAACATACGACAAGAGATGTTAGATACCTCTTCGGAGCTGGCGAGTGTTAACGCCAAAGTCGAAGCATCTTCGGATCTTGTCGCTTTACAGATACCGAACATACCTGCAAGTATAGTTACAGAGCGCGGCCCAAGAGCGGCCGATGCTGAGTGGGTCTCCGCCCAGATCGCCGTTACGACCGGTGTGTTTCCAATCCAGGTCCGACCTCATGGGACGTGTCGGCCTGGAGCACCATATAGAAATTGGCATGCCATTTTTTATCGGGATTCTGCCTCTTCTACGGGTCTGGTATTGCTACCATCCATAAGCCTCGTCAAGAAATTGAACAGTGCAAACGCTATTTGGGCTTCCACGCCACTTGTGGTTGCTTCCGCGCTCCAGCCTGTTGGAACTGCCGATCTAACATGCACTCAGAAGCCGAGTGCAAGGCCCTCACTAAGTTTTGTTTTGTTCATTAACGTGCTAGGTAAAGTGACTACCATTGCACTCCTACTGGAGCTAGAGCACAAGTGGGGTCGGGCCGGATCAGGTTAACTACCGTGAATTACAGATAAACCTTGTCCCACTTTAATGACCGGACCACCTCAGACTTCACCTATGTGTTGAATCATACCAAGTCTAACCGTCCAGAAACCCACTGTATACACACTGTAGCGCAATTGCCTCCTCAGCCTCGGCCACCACGCGCCCGAGCCCTTGACACCCTCATTGGCTCCGAAATATAAATGCCGTCCAAGATCTCATCGTTGCTCTAGCCTTGCACCTTCATATCGTACCGTTGGGTTGTTTTCGTCATTGGGGATTTGTGTGATCCCCTCGGTGTATCCTCCCTTTTCTTCCTCTTTTGTACACGTCCCGTTTCCATCACGACTTTCCTCATTAGGGCGTGTGTAGGTAGGTGATAAGACGAGTATGGAGGTGGGTCGCAGGTATAGGATCGACTGAGATATGGATCGTCGCAAATATAAAAGGAGTTTGAGAGATGTCGGATGTTTGAATACGACCCCCAGAAAGACCTAAATCCATTCGTAAACCGTATGTTGGTGGTGATGAGTTTTTGTTCAACTTTGTTCCGGCTGTGAAATCTCTGTCAACTGATTTTTCGACCTAAATATCAAGTGCAACTCCTTCAAGTCGAAAATCCATCAAAAAAATTCATCCCACCCTTTTTTCGTGATTGAATCTCGGCTCTGGGAGAATATTTCGCTCTCAGGTTCGTAGAGGGCACCACTGACAGGTGCTCAGCCTTCGCTCTCCTGCCCTCACTAAGTATCGCAACTGTTGGGGACCCCACCGATCGAATGCCCGGGACTGCCAAGCCAGACCCGAAAAGTTCTTCCTTCACTTTCACTGATTGTTATTCTTGTGCATCGTAATCCTGGCTATCACCAGCACACCAATGCTTCAGTAGATGAAAGATTGAAGAAATAACTCTGATTATTACGGTGATGATTGACAGAAGTCAAAATATTGATCTAGATCGCCTTCTACTGGTGGACTACATCAAGGAATTCGGGCCAAGCGTAAGGCATCGGCTTTGTAAGTTACGTTTCTCATGTCCTTTCCTGGATCACATCAAATTGGCCATGTCGAAGTGTGAGTCTTTTGGAAAGGCCGAACGGCTAAAAGACTCGGCAAGTACCACAGGTAACAGGCCTAGACAAACCATCCCGACTTTTTTAAAGCTTTTCAGGTCAGAAGATACAGTTTTGAGACAGAAGTTAGATTTTTTCAGGCAAGTCTTAGAGTGGGGCACAAGAGGCTGTGCCCGCACTCGATGGGAATTGGCATGATGGAGTGTACAGCTTTTATGGGAATAAATGGCAGCACGTACAGTATACTTTGCTTCATCTTCTAGAATTCAAAGATCGAAGGAAAAATTAAGGTTAGGTCATAGAAGCAAGGATATTTCTGAAGCTGCTTCAAGTAATAGGAGAAAGCTTTAAAATATAGGTACCCTAATCACTTATATAACTTGAAAAGAGACACTGTATAGCAGACGAAGGTGTAGATGAATCAGCATTGAATTGATATCCCACAATGGTGATATGAGTTGGGTCTTGTAGAAGTCCCCACCCACCAAACCGTGGTCAACTAATCTACTCTATTCTAAACATGTCCCATTCTCTCGTATAACTGAGAAGTGTTCTGTCAATGACTTGAGTCATCAAAGTATTACTACTCCTTCACTAGACAAATCGTCTCTACGACTCCTCATTTGTATTAGTCATTGAATACTGATTGACGAGTCTATCCTCCAGACAGTGCACGGCTCGAAACCAAGTAAGTTGTGTAATCCGATACCAGAAATTCTACGTTATATTTACTAGGACATGATCTGTTTCTGTTACAGAAAGGGAGATTCTTCAAAATATTTGGACACCTTAAAGTAAATGGCAGCACATAGGAAGTTTTAAATTAGGATATTTCAATGGGAAATTGCCTAATAAATTTGAAGAGTGGAATATTTATTTGGAGTAATGGGGTTGAGATTAAATATAAAACTGTATTGTAGCTAGATAGCTGAGTACACTGTGAATTTGAAAAAAAGCGTCTCGGGATCAAGTACCCATGGCATATCAAATTATATGCAGGGATTGTGCTTGACAAGTTAAAATAAACATCAATCTGTCAAACCAGCTCAATAGAAAAAAGATACAGGAATTTTTATACCTATTGATACAAGTGAAGTGATTAATAATGACAGGTTCTGAGTCAATCCCATTCGAACTAAGCAGTGATCGGTGGTTTGGCCCGTCTTAAGGATAAGATTATGCGTAAGGGGGGTACAACCTAGCATCAAGATGACTTGTGAGACCTGAAATGCTTTTCTTTAAGCTCGTCATATCTAGTCTTAACGAGTTATAGTTTTCAGCGTAGCAGGGATCATCAATTTTATGGACGCTGTGAACTATACTTCACGATAAATAGAGATATATATAGACTGATGATCTCGTCATAGTTAGGTACTGTCAAACATCTGATGGTTTGGAACCTACTGAATAAAGTAATGAGAATCGTTGGATATTGGGATGACACATCTCGGATTAACTTACTCGAGCTTTGATATCTCACCAGGGATATGGTGATCAGGACGTTCAAGATGGTCAGGACAGTCAAAGCTCCAACTTGAGATCTTTTGATCTTCAACACATGTAATATATTTCATATGTAATTTTGGGAAACGAGGAGAAGATAATCTCTCCTCGAAATAGTTTCAGATGGGTATATAGCATCACTGCTGGAGAGGAGTTGAGGAGCAGAGATTTCATCAATACCACTTTACTTTACATTTTTCATTTGACCCTCAGTGTCTAACAGGTACCTAAGTTAAAACATCTTCTAATTTATGATTACTTATTCCTAGAGCTATTTAGATGCATCTGTGTATGTCAAGCGATTTTAAGTATGATGCAATGTATTATCGAAGGTTATCAAGCGCCTACTCCGGTTCGGTTTGGTCCGAGAAGGCTTCTGAACCTAGTCTGTGCAGTATCTCATCCCTATGAGGTCTGAATGGCCATCTAAGCCACGCTTTAGTCATTTCTGTTAGCATTTCTACCGTTATGCATCTTGCGCTGAATAGCTCTAGATCTGGACAACCATTTTTCAACGGATCTGTCAGTGAGGGACATTCAGCAATTAGCCATTCTAAAGCTCCTGGTGCAAGGGAATCTAGCGCTTGTTTGAGATTTTGTGAAGGAACAAGGCACAGCTGCATGATGAGGTAGCTAATAATATCTTGGTATGCCGGATTTTCCGAAAAAAAAGGAGTCAACACTGGCCTAAAATCGAGCAAGCTTAGAGTCTTGTTAGGGTAAAAGTCATCAGGACTTGCTCTTAATGGTTCAAATTCACGACGATCCCAGAACATACCGGGTGGATCCTGGGAGTATGAGCGCCGGCTATCACAAATATATTGGATTTCGGCAGAATCAGCTGGGGGAAGTGTGGACAGATTTTCTCTCCATATATTGGTCTGGGACCTAGCCTGGATTTGAAGAGCTTGTGATTCAGTAGGACATTTGGTTAAATAGCTCTGTCTATAAAGTGCCAATATATCGCCGTAGTCATCAGCGAGGTCGGAGAGTCGTTGTGTTTTAGACACCCGACGTTTGTTTCTCCTTGCAAGTTCACGCATCCGCTCATACTCCGGGGTTTTTTTAGGTAATTTTCGTCTCTTCGAATCAAGGAGTTCATTATATGAGTCCTCCTCTGGCAAACAGTTCTTTTCGAAATCACCCCTAGCAAAACTCTCATTCATCTGTTGAAGGCTTTTTTGTAAGCTCTTGGGACTCAACTCTTCAATTTCAGATCCAGTTGCCCCAGACCTTAGATCTTTCAGGATATGAGTCTCACGACCTTTTGGAATTTCAACCCCTTTGCGTTTCATATTCTCTACGACGGAGCGCACTCTCTCTATATCAAGCCTTTTTTCTCTGCTACAATGTCTTTTATTCTCATCGGAGTCAACAACGGTTTCAATATGATCACAAGTGACTAAAGCTTCCATAGCCGTTTTCTTTTGACCCGCAAGATTCCTGGGTATTACTCTAGTATCATCTGAATTCATCCAGAGCAGCATCCTCACCTTTCCGTAGTGTTGGAAAAGAGCGTGAGAGCGAATAGCTGATAGAAATTGGTATATAACAACACTTCCTACAGAGCCGAACCCGAGAAATCGCCTTGAATGATAGTCGCTGATATTTGCTGTTACTAGTAATGTATTATTGGGTCTCTCAAGCTCAGGGTCTCCATGTTTTAGAATTGGCTGAAAAGGAAGATATTTCGGTGATAATATCTTCTCTAAGTGGGCCCAACTCATCCCATTTTCAGGTACAATCTGGTATTTTGAAGAGGGTGCATCGAGAAGCGGTTTTAAAGCTGGAATATATGAGTTAGGATGAGGCTCCATTAAAATATGACTCCGAGGCTGCAATAAACCATGCAGTTTAGAAGACCATACACCAACACCAGGATTGAGGTCAATAATGTCACAGCCTTTATGTTTTTCAAGAGAAGGTGCGAGTCGCTGTAAGGCTTCATCTATTATTTATCAGAGCATTATACCTCAACAGTGGGGTTTTATTACCACAAAGTTTGCTATCAATTATGTTGACTCGATTCGTAACGTCATATTTGCGATTCTCCAGAAGTAATTTTTTTGCGCCTCTTTTTGGATTGGAAATAGTGGAAAGATATTTTATTAGATCGCTTTTAGTTTTAATAGGAGCTTCTTCAACACAAGGTATTCCATAATCACTTTCTGTGTCAGATTTTCTTAGGGTATTCCAGGCTCTCTCTTCTACCGGGGCTATACCGCTGTCGATTCCTTTTTCTCGCACTTTTTTATCTATCTTTTGTCCCAAAATTTCAATGTCTATACTCCTATCTCCTATGTTTGATGATCCAGTTTGTACTGCTTTTTGGAACTTTAGTTTTGGACCTCTCTTCTTCGGTTGAGCTGATGTTTCAACGATTGTGCCATCATCAATGCTTCCTAGTGATGCAGAATGTTCTACTTTTTGAGACTTTGGTTTTGGACCTCTCTTCTTCGGTTGAGCTGATGTTTCAACAATTGTGCCATTATCAATGTTTGTTGATGAACCAGACTGTTCTACCGTTTGGAATTTTGGCTTTCGACCTCTTTTTTTTTTGTGGTGACCTTTTCCTTGATTATTTCCAGTATTTATCGTTTCGAGATCCAGGTCTGATGAGCCAACAGCCTGAATTTCAACATGAGATCCTAGTTTGCATTCCTTAATCGTGGAAGAACTACCAACTAAATTTGTGCTTTCATTCTGGCTTGATTGACTATATGTAGATTGCAGTTCTTTAGTTTGGGCTATTTATGAAGTTAGCACAGCCACAAAATACAAGAGAATCCGACCCTGAGGCTAACCTACCACACCCGTTTACTTCTAGTTTCAGGTTTTCAGGTAAGAATAACTCTTCAGACTCTTCCTCAATAATTTGAAAATTCGTGGTATTTGATTTTGAAGAATAGTCACTGTTCTCTCGAGAGAATATGATATAATGAGGTCTAAGGCAAGGGATTGACAATGGAGCACAAAAGCTTTTTCGTGTGCACCAAACTACGCGTTTGATTTCCAAGCATACTGCCTTTCTTGTCAATAAACGAAGCATTTATATGTTCATGAACAATAGTTGGAGATATTCAGATTTTGGGATTCACCAGCCTGGTGCATAGTGCTGGTAAAATATCGCCGACAAGGCTGAGAAGTTAGTAGGAGCCCCATAAACCGAACATCTATTCATCAACCAAATCATCTCCATGCTTATGCTTTCCTCGTGAACTTCGATTAGAGGATTTCGTATATAATCTCAATGTTTTCAAATTGTTTAAACTGTGTCCCTCCTTCAGCCATCGAAGGGCTTCACTGTTTATCCCAAATTTTATCGAAAAACTTGCTAAATGACAGGACCGACGATATCGACCCCGAAACCTTTAAGTACGAAAGAACTGGCCAATAAGGCTCAGGACTTTGAGTTCAATCCATATATTCCGCTAAAATTTTGGATTAGGACTTCAGACACCTTGTTGCGAGAGGTAAAACTCTTGGCTTCCTCTCGCACTTGTACGCCATACTTACTATTAACAAGGCTTTGATATATGAACAAGAAGATAACATTCAACAAGCTTATGTTCTTCTCATGCGATATGCTGCACTCGTTACTGAAAGATTTCCTCTTCATCCATCAGCTAAAGATCCAGAGTACAGGCAATCTTTAAAGAACATAAAGAAAACCTTACCAAAAGTCATTGAATCCTTAGAAGCCCTCAAGCCTCGCATAAACCATCGCTATAGTACATTGGAAGATCCTTCGAAACCTCTATCAAATAGAGTGATTTCACAAAGTACAAGGTCGCCAGGGACATCATATTATCAGACCGGATCTTCAGATCCAGCTATTGCAGGGAACAGTTTAACCTTAGCCGCAGCAGAAAACAGTGATTTTGCTGTTAAACTAGCACGTCAAGTAATGCATGAGCGGGACGAAGCCCGCAAAACTACACACTACCCACTATCTCTCGAAAAACCAGGATGGGAAGGTGAAAATGTTGAATTATGGCATGAATGGAGCCCGACACCACCAAAAGATAAGGACTCCCACGTCCAAGAAAGGCAGAACCGAATTCAAATTCCTGCAAAACTCAATGAGCTTCACCAAAGAGAAGCCTACGGTGAAGTGAAAACCAAAAACGAGGGGAAATTTTACATCCCTTCGGGCAGGGATGAATATCAGTATCCCTCGTTCAAAATTTCACAGTCTACCAATCTTAATCAGGAACCACTAAAGTGTTCTAAGCCAATTTTCTCGCCACCACCAAAAATTCCGGCTAAATTTAGCGATCATAATGTTATTCTTTCTCGAGACATTCCACCTCCACGCCCTTGCAAGGTTCCTCCTGACGTGTCGAACCCCAAAAATCTACCCAGTATTGCTCCCAATTTCACTTTTCGACCTTCGTCTTACCTTGAAAATGGGAAACCATTAAGAACTGTCTTCCTACCTCCTGAGCTACGTACTGAGTTCCTAAGAGTTGCGAAGCCAAATACACTTAAGAACCTCGAAACTTGTGGCATGCTTTGTGGAACCCTAATCTCGAATGCTCTTTTTATCCGTCGGCTTGTTATACCAGAACAGGAAAGCACTAGTGATACATGTGAAACTACAAATGAGGGGGCTCTCTTTGATTACTGTGATAAAGAAGACCTTTTAGTCTTGGGATGGATTCACACTCACCCTACACAAACGTGTTTCATGAGTAGCCGAGATTTACACACACATGGAGGTTACCAGATAATGATGCCAGAAAGTATAGCCATAGTTTGTGCACCAAGCAAAACTCCGTCGTTAGCTTACTACCATGACCCATATTGATGTTTCATGTTCTAACTGCCTTATAGCTGGGGTGTTTTCCGACTTACAGATCCCCCTGGGCTCGGCTCTATTTTAAATTGTAGACATACAGGCCTTTTTCATCCCCACGAGGAGATAAACCTATACGCTGATGCATTACGACCCGGACATGTTGTTGAAGCAAAGGGCATGACCTTTGAAATTGTTGATTTGAGACCTCACTGATACCGATGTTTCCTGCTCAAAAAATTTTATAGATTAACTGGACTAGCTAAAACGAGCAGATTTCATCTATGAGGTCTTGAGAAAAAATTTCGTTCAATTAATGTCTTGAAAAGTCCGTGAAGCTATTTAAGAGGCAAGCCCCTTGCACAACTAATTTGATGCAGTTTAGATTACACACTAAATAATTTAAGGCTTAAAGAAAACTTTGGTCTGTAAGTACTAAATTTTCATAGCCAGGATTCTCGAACTATCTCAAAATAAAATTAGGTTTTCTTTCTCACAAAACAATCCCCCTACCAATAAATTTCAAATTATAGATATGGATCTTATTTAACACTCAAACTTGACGTGGCTATCCTTGATATATAAATTCGAAAACTAAGATAAAGAAATCTGCATATTTCAGGCAAACAATAGCGAAATATCTGTTGGAAAACAACACGATTAAAAGGTTCAGAAATTAGTATCTTATCACTAAGCGATACAATTATCTACAGTTCAGTTATACTTGCGAAAATAAAAATTGTTGAGTAGATTTATCAAATCAGGTTTGTCGCTTAATACTCGAAGAGAGCTATAGGAGTTTCAACGTTTTACAACTGAGAGGAGCGTCAAATTAGTTTAACTTATCTTGTAAACCCAATGAGACTATGGATTAGAACCCAAAGGATCCTACTCTATCTCAAGTTCACAATAAATGACATGCGTAGATTTGTAATAGAATTTAAATATTAGAACCTAAGGTGGCTACAAATGTTGTTGGATCGCGTGCCGTATCAATAACTCTTAGCTGTTGGTGATGAGGTGAAATTTTACCTCCTTATATTACAAAAGAACCCCTAAATTTCGTTCAGGTTTTTCTGAATCAAGAAGTTTCACGAGTTTGAAGAGTTATTTTAATCCTCTTGTTTACGGTTAGGTTTTGCCTCATTCAAGGAGAGAGATGCAAAGCTTAATAGTCAAATATTTTAAGAAAATAATGACCTCTCAGTCATTGAGGATGTGGAGGGCATTGAATCAAGTAACTACCGAAGTGAAACTAAGTACAGAATTTGCTTTCACGTGGATATCAACAACGTGGCCCACTTGATAGCCCCAATTATTCTAAATTCCCACATTTTATTCATTTTATACGGGCTTTCGAAGATGATTAGAATTTAGGATACAGGAAGAATCTACATATTATTTCTCAGATTAAATATCTGAGGAGATTGACAATTTAACTCAGATAACCCCATGCGATGGATGGTTCAATTACGAGCCGGAGATTATTTGGGTGAATTGTCCTAAAATCACGAGAAGAGGGAGTGGCAAAAAGGTAGCTCTTATGTGAAGATGAAAAAAGTAAAATGGCTGTTAGAATAGAGTGATAAGAGGCGGACAGGGACTACATGCTAACGTGCACATACCACATGTACTCACGCTATTGTACCTGGGGCCAGGTTGAGGCAAAGCTGGACCTCTGATACTAAGAAGCGAAAGAGGTGGCTTACCTAGATGTTCAAATTCGCAATTTGTATATTTCCCTTCTTATGATCACAATCATCCTTGGTCTCTTGCTACCACAATTATCTCTTTGTCTATGAATACTTAATTTCTAAATCTCAATTTTGAATCTCGATAATCACTTTATACACTTCGAAGACGGCAGATCCTACCCCTTTTGGATTACACCGTAACAATAACTGATACACATGCAAATAACCGGAGGACAAAGGCTGAACACCTGTCAGTGGTGTCCTCTACGAACCTGGGGGTGAAATATTCTCCCAGAGCCGAGGTTCAGTCATGAAAAAGGGTGAATTTGAGAGTTTTCGTCGAGTTGGCGATCGGGAAGAGTGACGTTGGCTCATTTTTGGTCGAAAACCCGACTTGCAGAGGTTTCACGACTGCACAACTCAACGAAATCAACCATCTACACCCCAGATACGAACCCCAGACAGGCAATAGCCTGTCTGATGTTCGTACACAACAACCGACACCTTCAAGATCTTATTTTCTTTTTCTCTCGAAATTCATTCTCAGCCAAACTCATCTCGCGGCTCTCTCCACAATCATCTCATCACCCACCGAAGCAATCCTATACCTCCAAAAGTCAAATCTCCAACGAAGAAGCAAGAGGATGTCCGAGCCTCCGCAACTGCCAGTCGCTGTGAAGGTACGGTCGAAATACCGGCCTTAAATGCGTCCTCACCTCGGCCAAGGGCAGCAAAAAATCGACCTACGACGAATTGTCACCAACGAAATACTTACGACATTCCGCCGGCACACTAACTAGAGCGTTTGACAAAGGCTGGGGCACCAGTGCCTCGGTCTTGCGCTCTCAGTCGCGTTTTCGACCTCCACGGTTAGGGGTACGGCAGCGACGGGGCAAGGCCGGAGAGGTGGACATTCTACAAAGTTTCTGGGATGACGAGATCGGCTGAAGGACAGAGGGATGCTGCATGAAGGAATCAAAGGGGAATACAAACTGAGGAAGCCTTGGTGGGCGGCTGGATGAGGCCTCCAATGAAGAAAAAGATCTCTGGATGAGATGAGGAGATGCTGAGATGAGTCAAAGCTGCGAATGAATCGAAGGGAAAATTTACAGATGGCGAAGGTGTCCAGGGCTCGGGCGCGTGGTGGCCGAGGTTGAGGAGGAATCTGCGTTTCGGCGCGCCAAAAGAGGGTTCTGTGGACGGTTGGGCTTGACATGATTCAACACATGGGTGAAGTCTAAGGTGGTCCAGCCATTTAGGTGGGACGAGGTAGATGTACTTAATGGTAGCTAACCTGATCCAGCCCGGCTCTACCCGTGCTTCAGCTCCAGTAGGAGTGCAACGGGAATCACTTTACCTAGCACGTAAATGAACAAGACAAGACAAGACAAGGCATGCAAATAACCGTGCGACAAGTTTTGACATCCGAAGGCCCTAGAAGGTTATACAGTCAAACCCCCAGGAGGGCAAGACTGAAACCCTGTACGCGGTGTCCTCTACGAACCTAGGGGTTATAAATCCTCCCAGAGCCAAGTTCAGTCAAATTTCGCAATACCAACAAGTTAGCCCACGAGGCCATGATTCAAAAAACTCCGCCATGAAAATCTTTCATTCTCAAAGAGATCGAATCCTACCTAAGCCTCATCAAGTCAACAAGCACGTCCCAGTACATCCTCATTCCAATGATTACACCTCTTGTCGACTATTCTCTTGCCTCAGCCGGTCACCAAATACACGCCCACGCCGATATTTATACCCGACGGAGGAAGCAAAGCGTGGCGCACAAATCTGCGAGAAAGTTCTTTGGGATGGACGTGAGAGGGATTAGGACAAGTTTACAAGATGATACAAAGGAAGGATATAACCTGGAAGGGAGTGAAATTCCGAATTTTGACAAGCAGTTTCACGAATTGAGCTTTGTGCGCGCCAAGACTTCGCTTGTGAGAGTGCAGCTGATACTATAAAAACGAGCCAACGATGGAAGGTGCTGTGGTCCGTCTCCTGGTGGTGTTCTCTGGTATGGTTTGAGTAGCCTGGGCACCTACTCCACTTGGGAAGGAGACATCTCAGATTACATTTCGCGCGGAGAAAAGTTGATGGATGATGGAGGCATGTCTGGATAACTCAGGGTTTTTGAGATGTTCCCCTGGGTGGGTATTCACGGATGAGGGTTGACTTGGGGTGAAGAAAAAGCCAGCATAACTTCGCAGTGGTACTTGCAAATGAAATCTGAGGCATGAGTGCTCTTCCTTTACGTTCAATCAACTATTCTGTACTTTTCTTTGATATTGTGTCATAGCTAGATAGCTGCATACGCAATTAAAATCTGATGCAAAAAAAAAAATTACATTACATTTCTGGTCAGTCTTAGACCAGGGGGATTACTAAATTCCTAGGTGCATGAAAAACACATTTGATTTATTTTAAACCCTACTTGTATTTAGTTGTAGTCACAAGACCCGCATCCGCCAGGCTATACATCATGTCAAGGAGCCTGAGTGTATAAATGTTGGTTCGAAAATTCATACCGTGGGTTACACTCGCTCACATCATGGCCTGGGTGAGCAGGAACTGGAGCCCAATCATCGACCTTGAATATCTAACTGCTGGAAGAGCTTAAAATCATATGATGGCCATGTGAGATCGTTAGGTAATGTTCATTGAGTAATGAGGGCGGAAGCTCTGTGTACCAAGAGCAATTAATCATCCTGTCATGTTAAACAGGTGTTCAAGCTTCCCGCTCAAACTGGAGCTCAATCTTGTTGAGTTTACCACCAAGCCAGAAGACCAAGAATGTAACAGCAAAAATTCTTGTCTACACAGTAAATGCAATTTACAGATCTCGTAGATCAGGAATGAATGCAGAACCCTGCTAGCAAGAAGCCCAGAACTTTTTGTAATCGAACGTACCAATATAGTTCTACACTTCTAGACATAGGAAATGCTTGACAAAAGTATATTCAAATATACATTGCGAAATTCCTACTTAATGTAACTAACTCCCGATTTATGATCTTTAGCGGCCTCATCGACCTCCAGAAAATCTCATTCTAGTCTGGTTGCGTATAATTTCATGCAACTGACTACATTAATCGATCTGATTTTCAGCAACATATCCTCAAATTATCGAACAAATATTAATTCAAAACAAAATGAGATGAGATGTGATTTTTAGGCGATTATGGTACTTTCTGAGGAGGGTGGTAAAAATGCCATCTTACACAAAGACAAGTCAGTGGATCCAGAGGAACAGTCTACACTAACGAAATCCGAGCTACAAATAGCTTGCGACGAAGATGTTATAACGAATATTACAAATCTGGGACATTCTTCTCCAAGAATTGGAGCTCCTAATCTTAATTCAAACAATTTGACTGAATATAACAACAGTAATAAGAATCTCATTCGAGAGGCAGAAAAAGTGGGCTTCTACTCACCAACCAGCGATAGCCACATCTACAGCGAGCATAAAATACCATGTGACGATACCTATATGGATTCTATAAACGAGGTTGAGCTACACAAGCACTTGAATGATGTTGAGCCTAGTTTCATGCCTATAGCATCACCCACAAGTATAAACAACACACTCGTCACCGATGGGCCTTATATTTTTGACAGATCCTCCCCTATATTGGAATCCAGTCCTAAAGATTGCTTTCCATTGACCTTGACCCCCGGGCCCAATACTTCGCGAGGCGAGAAATTACGATCTGAGACCACAAATCAAATATCGCTAGACAATTCTTGGAATCCTCCCGTAATTAATGCTACTATTGTTGAGAAGGATTCCCGTATTGTCTCAAGCACTGGAACATCCGAAGTCAGCGTGATCAATGACAAAATAAATACTGAAGAACAATACAAAGCTAAAATAAGTAAACAAAATCGCAGAGAAGTACCAGATGATGGGCCAGGATGTGAAGATTCTGAAGCAAGTAGCGAACACTCAACTATACGTCATCATATCTCTGGAAAAAACCTACGTAACATGGGTGACAGTCAAAAGCGAGCAGAAGATAAGATACTACCAGAAAAAGGTTCCAATCGACCCAAAAAATTCCTACAAGTACGAAATATTAGCAGAAATTCATCTGTATCATCCCTCGATGCAATTGATGTAGCACTTGGAGCAGACTATGCATTACAATCGGGGGGAGCAGTTCCAGCGGTTGAAGTATCAAGGCAGAGTAGCACTACGCTCTCGCGCTCTATTTCTTTAGGTAGTATAGCATCTGGGTTTGACGATTCTGCTGAATACTTTATCCAGGCTGCAGGTAATTGTCTACCATCTCTGACAGAGAGAGAAAAAGAACGAAAAGGTAACGATGGGATTTCGCCTCCCAAAACCCCAAGAGCTCGAAGCAAAAGCCTCGCACCGCCTACTGACACGGTCATTGCGCGTCGCGTTCGAAATGTTCATGTCCCAGAAGCGATTGTAAAAGAATATCGATCTAAAAATGGAATGGCATCTCCCGCTAGATACTCTAGTACGACTGGCCCTACTCCAAGTAGATCTGGAAAGAATTTAACTCTGAAGGAGCAAAGTAGTAGTATTGAAAGACTCTCAAAAGAAAATTTTGACTTAAAACTTAAAGTTATGTTTTTGAGTGACCGCCTAGATAAGCTTTCTGAAGAAAGCGTAAAGGACATGATTTCGGAGAACGTTGAAATGAAAACAAGTCTCGCAGTAATGCAGCGTGATAATAAAGCACTGAGACGGAAAATCAAAGAACTTGAGAAACAGTTGAAAACTGAGGAGGATCGGCCATCTACTTCGCATTCTAGTATAAACTCTGCCGAAACACCTAACTGGTTTAATGAACAGGGAAACGGTCAGATGGAAGAACTTATGTATCTACGCGAGAAGGTTGAAGAATATGTGACGGAGATTGAAAAACTTCGGTCTGAATCTATCTCCCGAGAAAATGAAAAGAGAAATTTGGCGGAAATAGTACGCCAGATGGGCGAACGCAGGGGTCATGATTTAGATACTCGTGGAGAAATTGATATCTTGAAAGACTTGTTAGAAAAAGAATCAGATCGCTTTGAGCAAATCGACGACGAGAATAAAAGGCTAAGAGAAGAAAATTTTTTCTTGAAAATAGAAACATCATCAAACTCTGGCGATAGGGGCCATTCTCATACTACTATCGAGTCGCAAAATCAAAAAAGGTCTCAAAAGTCGCCAAGAAGGCCTGCTTCGAGCATGTCTGGAAGATATGAAAACCACAATGACTCGATTAGTGCTGGTAGTACGTTAGTTGACGAGCTCAAAAGAGAAAGCGAAAAATTGAAGCACGAAAATGCTGAGCTCCGCCGTGAAGTTGGAGCACAGACATCTATGTTAACATCACGAAACCGAGAGAAGGAACGCTTGTATCAAGAGATTGAGGATCTAAAACTTGAACAACGTCGAGGGCTAGCTGTATCTGATACCTTGCTTGATCGTTCTTCGTCGAGAACTCATCAAAGATCTCTCTCAAGAGCTAGTAGTGGTACAAAGCATACAAACATCAACTGCTACGAGCGAGAAGATTTTGAAAACAAAAATGCTGAGCTTCGAGATGAAATTAATCGAACAAAAATTAAATATCAAGATCTCCAACGAGAGCTTACATCTTGTACAGAGGATTTTGAAATAGCAGTTTCTCAGAAAATTGCGGTAGAAAAATTTGCAACCGAGATCCGGGAATCACTAGAACAAGCTCAATCAGATATGTTAACAATGCAGGCCGAAAGAAATGAAGCTTTGCAAGGTCAGGAAGAAGCAGAAACAATGTTTGAATCTTTACGAAGGGAGGCTCAGCAGGAGCTCGACTCCTTTGCTCTTTACCTAGATGAAGCCAACTCTGAGATAGGACGTTTACGTATTGAACTTAGCGATACTACAGAAAATTTTAACTCTCTCCAAAGTGAGATGCGAGAAATGAGTCAATCTCTCATCAGGCTAGAAGATGACCAGAGCTTTAGTGTCAAGCGCATTCAAAACTTAGAGAAGGAACTTGAGGAGGCTAATCATGAGTTGGAGCAGTTGGAAAAGAACTTGGTAGAGGCGAATGAAAAAGTCAGTTGTTTAACTGTTCAGCAAGAATCAGGCCAAGGGGAAATTGCATTTCTTCGTGAGGAACAAGAAGGTGATAAAATCAAAATTGGAAACCTTGAAGCTACAATTAAAACTTCTGAGCTGGCCTTGGATGAGGGGAAGGAAAGAATCAAAGTGCTTGAACAGAGGCTTAGCAGTGAACGTAGCCAAAGAGAAGCTATAGCAGGCAAAGAGAAGCAAGAAGTACAGCAGTATGTCAATCAACTCAATTGCGAATTATCAAGTGCAAAGGACGAAGTTAAACGGTTGCGCAAGAAAGATGTCGAGGCTGCAGAATGGAAGCAAAAACTTGTTGATCTAGAAGAGCAGCTTAGAATTGCATTGGGTGAAATCGACGGCACTAGATCCAGTTTTCTACATGTAAGATCATTAAAGGTTGGTTTGATTATTCTAAATTCTTTTAGTCCATTGCCAAACTACACCATGAACTCGAAGATACAGTTCATGACCTTGATTCCGCTAAGGAGTCAATGGCTCAAAAAGACCGCATTATCAAAGATCGTGATGAGCGTTTGGAAGCGAATGCTCTAGAAGCACGTAAACTGGCAGACATGCTTGACAAAGAACGTCAATATCATCGTAACACCAAGCACCAATTCGAGACATTTCAAAAAACAACTCAGCATACGACACGAACTCTTACCCAGCAAAAGACCCGAATCACTGAATTAGAAACTGCAAGACAACAAGATCGTCGAAAGATTATTACAATCGAAAATCAGTTTAAAGATCAAGTGGCAGACCGCAACCAACTTCTTCTTACCTTGTGGAGACGGCTATCAGATATCTGCGGTATTGACTGGACTCACGACAATAGCCTTATTAATGGACGTGCCCTCCCAACTATGGAGTCTCTGACCACAATGTTTCCTGGCTTCTCGAAAAACATAATCAGTGCTGTGAAAAAAATTGAGTCAGTTCTCACGGACTTCACCTCCAGGATTCATTCAATCGAGAAAGATTTATGGAAAGAATACCAGACACTTATGGCAAATCTTGAGGCTCGTACAAAGAGACTCGACCACTTAGAGATCAGCTCTAGGGGTATTATATCAGGCATTGGTGGCGATGGACGTATAGAAATAAATCGATTGCGAGAACAGATCAAGACCATGCAGACTGAAATTTTAACCCTTCGTGCTGCCACTGAAGCCCGAATGACTATCCACCAAGACGGAACCACGAGCTCCTCTATGGAAAATAGTCCACGTGTGAAAATGGGTGATAAGGCGCGAAACTCGAATATTCGTCAGAATTCGATGTCGTTGGTTGAGGCAACCGACCAAATATGCCGCCAAAGAAACGATAGTGAATCGAGAGCTGGAGTAGACCGGGATTACCAGAGCTACTCGGACCCTAAGTGGATTACTCGTTTGTACGAACTCGAAGAAAAGTACAAAGCCGAGCGTGAAGCGCGAATAATGGACCGAACGGCAGCACGGCAAAGGCTAGAGGAGAAAAGCAAAGATAACGAGGAATTGCTTCAAGAGATCGAAAAATTGAGGGTTAAGATGAAAATGAGTAGGTAGGGTTCTTTTCTAGTCGAGTTGTATACAAGTAAAATATTTTAGGACGTGGGATAATGTGTTAAATTGGCTGGAAGGCTCTTTGGAGTTAACGAAAGAAAAATCCGAGCGGGATGGGGGTCTGGTATAAACTGTGACTGGTGGTCAATGTATATTTTGCATGTTAAATTGTGCTGAGTTAGATGACTCTTAAGGTTGAATGAGTATGTTCCGGGCCTTATAAATAAGCACGACCTGAGCATGAGTCAATATCTAAGGCTAAACAAGAGTTGATGGCAGAACAGTGCTCCTAGCTATTATGCGGAAAATAGCTTTGTCTTTTGTGTACAATTTTAATTTTGAATGATCTCATTACTATTGAACATAGTTGGTATGAATTTTTGGCGGGTGGTAGGTGATGTGAGGATGAGGACGGTTCCCTTATCGTTATTATATATCTTTCTACGCTCAACAAATGAGAACGAAAATAGTAGCACACTGAAAGAAGGTAACGCGAGGTTTCCAATTTTACTAACAGAAATTACTTTTCAATGGAGAGAAAGTAAAGCCGTAAACTCACATTTATCAAATAGAGAAGAGTGTTCTGATATACATGCGTAACATTGATGATATACTAAGTCCACCACCAGCTTAATTCAGCTGGTGCTGCACTCTTACCTTTGGTAGAGTATTGTAGAGTTAACGGAGCTGGGATTTCGAGCATGAAATGTGCAAGAGCTTGATGCTGTTGCGTTTTTTTTATTATTAATTTTATTGTCCTGTCTGAGTCTATGACTATGTAGGACATGCAGGTCCTCTCTGCCTACAGGCCAAGGATACCTATACCAGTAGTATATGCCCTCCTATGCCTCCCATACAGCTTCCCTCAAACAGTACCGCCCCTCATAAGTCCTCATTCAACCATACTCTTAGAGGAGCCCTTTGTCCTTCATTATCTCCTCTCTCCAGCCAACGAAACGATGTCCATTTGCGGGTGTATGGCAGCCGGGAAAAATCGCAAAATCCTCCGGGTGCGGAGCTCTCCTAATACCGACATTAGGACAAAATCCAAAGACATAGTGATCCTCCCGAAGCGTTCGAAGAGGCCGGCCAGCTGGGCGCTGCAGACTTGTGGATACCTCGGGAAATTCACACTCTGCCTTTCTAGCCTCCTTCCAGAAGGTCGTGCTGAAATGTCAGAAAAGTCTTAACAGAGCGTGTTTGCTGTACGGTAGCTTAGCCCAACTTCTTTTGTGCCGTCCAGGGCGCTGGATAGTGCCGTTGACTCATCGACTATAGAAGCTCTCCTGGCTAATTAACCGAAATCTCAGTCTTGGTGTCCACAAAAAATCCAAAGTTAAAAACTCATCCATCCATCAGTCCCAGCATGGTCTTCAGAGACCTGTTCCCCCTCTCGCTCCACGTCTCAGGCACCTTTTTTGTCTCAAGTTGTTTGTGTTGTAAAAATCTGAGTTCATAACTTCACACACCTTCAGGGGATAACTGTGCACCAGCCAAGTTAACCCCTTAGAGTCTGATCACTATTGCCTCCTGGTCGCTACACGCTAACATCAACGTGTTCACTACAATGAGGAAACCGTTGTAGTTACTCTAGCTATCATAGACAATAACATGTAAAAGAATAAGGTTAGGAACTCCTGTATATAGATAGGGCCTTTTTACTCTCAGTATCTACATCCATCATCCACAAATACAATTCACCATCAATCATCTTACTCTGTCCAAGTGATCTATCAAATTCTCCCATACCTATCAGTATTCTATTCACAAGGTGATGTCTCCCTATCCATCGCCCTCAGCCTTTCAATAGTTTGTGTTGAAATGTGATATATCTTGGAATGCCAAGAATAACTTATTAGTAAGTCCGGCTAATTTGACTATCAAATTCCCATTCTATATCACTGTTATCAATACATCATTCACCGAAAGTTTAATGCGCATTAGCGTTTATTTCACACTAGCATTCCAGCGGATGACTATGTCTCAAATGCAGGTTATAGTTTTCTCGTATCTATTACCAATACACATGTATTTAGCTTTATATTCCTGGCCCATAAATGTGTATGTACATAGATCTACATCTACATGGATCATAACTTACGATCCATGGAGATTGATAAATACTTGTCAAAAATCACAGTTGATAAGATATGCAAACACGCAATCTCACTCTTATCATCTCGGTTTTACTCTGAACCATACATCTAAATACAATTGTTTCCACTTGGATCTTCCTCTCACAACCTCATACAAGACTTACTGCATCGGTCTAACCGCCGACACTGATTCCGCTACAACCTCCATCTTCGCTCAAGCTTATAACTTTAACAGTTTGTCCCATTAGAGCAACAGTCCCCCATAAGCCAAGACCCGGGCATTGTATTTTTCGACTTGATTTCTCCTTGCGGGTATAAATATCGTCGTAAATATGTAGTGAGAGACGACTGGAAATTAATGGGGCAAGCTCCTGTATGCAATTGGAGCAAATTCTTTATTGGTCGTCGAGGCGAGGTGATGCGTGCTTAGAGAGAAGTTGAGGACCCAGATGAGAATGATAAGAAAGCCACTGTCGAGAAGTCGTCAAATGGAGGTGTGCTTGAGGTTGCTTTCGACTTCCATTCGGATGCGATTCTTCTTGGCTATCCTAGATATGCAGAGCATACTGAGCGATTACACCGGCACCACTGGAAGGTGAAGAATTCGTCTTTGCCGGCGAGTTTCCGGCATTCTCAGCATACTCCCTATTCGAAAAGAGCGTCCCAACGCCATGTTGGACAACACGAGAGTCCGTCCGAGGGCTCTCGATCAAACAACTGACCTTGCCCATCTCCACACATCTTGGAGGCTGGGCAAGGCCTCAAACAAAGAGAGGGAAAAAGCCCCTCCCACAGTCTCTGCGCCCGATACCGACATAAGCGGGTCAGACGAAATTGTTGAGGAGATCCATGAATCAGCTTCCACCTCCTATCCCGTAGGAGGTGTTAGACACTGAGAGTCAAATGAAAAATGTAAAGTAAAGTGGTATTGATGAAATCTCTGCTCCTCAACTCCTCTCCAGCAGTGATACTATATACCCATCTGAAACTATCTCGAGGAGAGATTATCTTCTCCTCGTTTCCCAAAATTACATATGAAATATATTACATGTGTTGAAGATCAAAAGATCTCAAGTTGGAGCTTTGACTGTCCAGACCATCTTGAACGTCCTGATTACCATATCCCTGGTGAGATATCAAAGCTCGAGTAAGTTAATCCGAGATGTGTCATCCCAATATCCAACAATTCTCATTACTTTATTCAGTAGGTTCTAAGCTATCAGATGTTTGACAGGAGGACCTTCCAAATCCTTTCAGACCGTGTCAAAGCCGACTGAGAACGCTGCTCCAAAAGCAGCACCAAAATCAATATCGCAGCCAAAAGCTGCTGCAAATACAGAATGTTCGCCCGAGCTTCGACCAATTGTCGAGGCCGAGCGACGACGCGCTGCCCCGGAAGCTGCAAATCTTGCACACTGCTCCACCGCCATCTCCAGCATCGAAGCAACAATTCTCCCTCTGACAACAGAGTCACACAGACAATTTAAAGACTCGACGAGAGTCTACCTTCACGCTGACAATACGCAATATATGGCCTCGGGCCATGAGCAGGAACATCAAACTTTCCATATTGACCTTTTCGTCCATAGCTTTTTGCCATAGAAAGCTATCATCAAACAAATAATTTTTTCCGACTCATTACATCAAGCGCTCTTGATTAAGATATTTTCCAGCCAATTTGACCCACTGGTCGTGCTGGAAATGTCGTCCAAGTCTATTTCTGGGGTATCTTCACCCAACATCCCACTCTCTATTCCACCCCCATCAAAATCTCAACAACTACAATTTAAGAAATCAATTTGGAGTGATCTACCTGCTACTCCGGCCTTAAATACCCCCTGTCAGCTTTTAATTCGTCCATTGATGAAGTTTTCATGGATTTTTCAAGCGACCCAATTTGCGGCCCCTCTCAGGAGTGGAGAAATTTCTCAGGAACCCATTTGATTGGGGGCTCAAGAAAACGAGACAGTGGCCACAATAACAATCAAGAAAGCCACTAGAAAGTGCAAGTTACATCAAAAAAGGATACAGAAACAAAATTTCAGTCCCCTCAGGATGCATTAATGGCAGCTAGGGACAATATTATCCAGGCTTGTAGCCTAACTAAAAATAGGAAGGAACAAACCAAACTGTTGGACCTGCTGGAGATTTTCAGGGTATTCACTGAAAAGAGGCAACTATCAAAAGCCTCAGAAATAATTACCTCCCAGATAGCAAGTTTGGAACAAGCCACCAAAAAGATTGAGAATAAAACCAGAGATCTCAAAACCATTCCTAATGCACCTCAGTCAATTAAACCAGCAGTACCCCGGACTGTATCCCATGCAAATAGATCAAAACCAATGAGCTTTGCAAATGTTCTAGCAGGATCAACCAGTAGCAATAATTCTACACTTCAAGAATGGACTCTTGTTGGTGGTAAGAAGAACACTTAAAAAAACCAATAACTAAACCAAATAAGCCAGTTGAGAAGAAGGTCAGAAGGCTTATACTTGTTCGAGGCCATAATTTGCCATTAATAACATCACTCCTAGCTGCCAGAAATACATTAAACAAGGCACTTAGTGAAAGAGGAGTCAAAGGCCTAGTGGTCAATATGACTAGCTCTACCACAGCAAATAATGAATCAATCACTACAACAGAAGCTTATACTACTGAGTTTCTTCTGGAGAAGAGAGAACTCTGGGAGCACTTCATACCCTTCACATTTTCCCAAGTAGATAAGCCATAGCACAAAGTGGTAATCCATGGTATTCCAATACAAGGCTTTGATACCCACAATGGAATGGAGATGATCAAGGATGACATTAAGGCATGCAATAAGGGCTTTACAACAATTGGAACTCCATACTGGTTATCAAGTAGAGAAAATCGAACAATTCATAGAGATCGGCCAGTAGCCATAGC